TTTCTTTGCACCTCTACATGTACAAAAAATAAAGTAATTTCTAACATACTCGTATGAATTTAAAAATTCATTCGGTCTGAAAAAATATCGATCTATTTAATTGCTTCCTGCTGTGTCACAAAACGCAAAGCTTGCATTATTGGTAGTAACTTGCATTGAATACTAAAAAAATATGAATTTAATTTGATAATACTCGAAGAATCGTCTGAAGAGACTAAGGTTCTTAACCTCACAAAACCTCACAAAGCAAACTCACTTCAAACCCTTTACTAAACGATTCTAACGCCTCTCGTAGGTTTCCGAATGGAAGATTTGTAATTGATATTAGCCTAAGGCTTCATTCATTGGAAAATCGAGAAAAAATATTGTGAATAAATCATTTATGTCTAAATCAATAAGGTCAACATTCCACGAATTTTCGTAAATCATCTAGTAAAGTTAATAAAGTAACATCCTGTATATGTCCCACAGCTGACCAAGTACGTGATAAAACCAATTACTTACTTTAAAAATGCCCAACTGATTATTTTTCCAGTGTGAAATATAAACGACCCCAAAGGGAATAATTGTACTAAAGGATATTAAATATTAATCGAACCGCCATCAAAGCTTATCTAAGATTCCGCGACGTATAGACGACGACGAGAGGTGCAACATAACGTCAATTTAATTCAAAGTACTGTTATCATTATTTCGGTGTTCGGTTTTTATATTTTCTCACTGTAGAGAAATGATTCAGCTGCGAGCCACCACGAAATGCTCGGAAAAAACGGTTAAATCTGCGGTCGTTCCACTTTACTTGCATTCGGCAGTAAATTTAATTTACTTAAGCAAACTTTACGCGGCGCTGTGGCTTTCACCTGAAACAAACAATAAAAGATTGATAAACGTTGCGTTGCGGATACGAAACAGCTTCTATTGTTGGCCCGCCATGTAGGGGGCAGCAAGAATTTGCGCATACATTCGCCGTACTGGCGGCGTAACAATGGACGAACAATAACGTTGAAAACAAACGCACCGGCGACAAGTACAGGTCGTGTGTTTTCGTGATTTTTGAAACCATTTCCATAGCGCCGAAACACGGCGTTGTAATAACTTTACATCGCTCCCGGAGCGAAGGCCCGAAAAACACCTGCACAAACAGAAATAGAAAAAGGACTACAAATATATGAAAACGTATCGTTTGGCTTTGATCACCCTCTTTTCAATAATAGAACCCGACTCGGCCCTTTGTACTGGCTCTAACCCGAGGCACCGCAGCGTTTTCCACGTACTGTAATGCCTCCATTTAATTTATCCACATAAAATACAAGCCTTTCTCGCTATTGTTCATTTGGCCGGCTCTAATTTCTTTAATGTAACGCTAGTGCTGAAGTTACCAACTAAGGCATGGCTTTCAACTTCTTGTTAACACTTGTTAAACGTTAAACGACTCAATTCGGCACTTCGAAGTAAAAAAATCTATACTATTTGACGATAATTCATATCGGTATAATACATAATGCACGTCACGTGTGAGCGGCACCACGTTATCGCATTCAGTATTCATTACAGACAGACAGACGTGTTTTGTTCCAGTTTCAAGTTATGAAGTATTGAATAAACTGTTAATTATAAACTTAAACAAACCGCTGACGCATAGAGGAGATCCGCGGCGTGCGGCATACGGGTTGGCAAACAAAAACAATGCCGCGCGCCCGCTCTTTTTACGCCCTTTGTGCTGGGCGCCAATTATAAACGGTAAGCGAGTTTAACACAATATTACCTAAATGGAGCGAGCTTTATTCAAAGGTTTTCGAGTCAATATTAATTAATTCGCGTAAAATTATTAACTGTTCCAGCTGAAAAGGTTCCATAGGTATATTCTCGCCACTGGTAAACATATTGTGCTGTTATAGTGATAACGAAGCGCATGGATCGGTTCTGATTTAGTTACCGCTTTCTTTTTGTGTCAAGATTTCTTAGAACTGTTTAGTGTTCGCTACTATTCGTTATTACGATTTTTATATGTAACTGATCACTCTCGGGAACAAACATCCAAATCCGGAACAATTACTTGTGGGTCATACAAATATTTGGCCTATATGGGCATCAAAACAACGTCCGCCAGCGCCGAAGCGATACAGTCCCGTACATATATATGTCTTACACTTTTTTTAGGGGTTTATCGCGTTTACTTTTAATTTCAATTCCTTTCGACCTTTTACAGCGTTCATGATCATGCTGTAATCCATACTTCAATACTATAATATTATAAATGCGTAAGTAACTCTGTCTGTCTGTCTCGCTTTCACGCCAAAAGTACAGAACCGATTTAAATGAAATTTGGTAGACAGATAGTCTAGAGCCTGAGAAAGGATATTTTTATATTTACATAGGCTATTTTTTAATTGGAAAAAGGGTTATAAAGGGGATAGATATTTATTTAAGGGCTTCAATGCGAGTGAAGTCGCGGGGAAAAGCTAGTGTTAAACGTAATTAATCCGCAAAATAGTTTCATTTATAATGTGTAATCGCTTATCACCCGCGAAGCATTATTTGTATTGCATGTACCGTACCCCGTCAAATTATGCATCTGGTAGTAGCGATGTTAAATGTGCAAATATGGACATTTCGGTTAATGAGAATGAAATCCAAAAGCGGCCATTAATCGAACGAAATATTACGCCTCCGACTGTACTAATATTTACACAGCGATTCCACGGTACACCGAAGTTAATATTATTTACTTCTTATTCCAATTCGGTTTACTTTTGTTAATGTTCCGTAGAAATTTTCCAATCAAAGCAACAGTTTTAAAGAACTCTTGAGCAAATTTCGAACTACACGGTTGATTATTGTTCGATTGTTTGAATTTCCAACATCAATAGTAATTGTTTTAAAACACGCTAGCCTCCATTCAGCTTGAATATATTTTGCGAGAGCCTTTTGTGTTATTCAAGTTGGGCAAATAATAACGGTTTTTTTTTTGTAATAAAAACGAATCTGATGAATTTTGTTTAAAAATTTTTGTTGTTATTTATTAAATTTGTAGAAAAAGTACGAAAAGATTCTCACCGCTGTGGGAATCGAACCCACGTCTTCGGCATTCCCAGCCTTTTCGTACTTTTTCTACGAATTTAATGTTTAATCTTAAGTGCAGAGATTAGCACTATAAAAAGTTAAATTTTTGTTGTATTCATATGTTATGCAAATCAAAAATGGAAATATGTTATTATATTTCCAAACATATTTTATTAATTAAAAAGATATTTTTATGCACATCTTGTTAAAAGTAATTAATTAAAGCGACAGAAATCAAAACGTAACGCAACTAAGGCCGAAACTACGTCACCGTATCTTGTCATTGCGAGAGGGGCCGCGGGCATCCTCTAGTTTAGATATAAAAGGTTTCACAGCGGAGCTCGGGTAGGTAACGAGGTAAGTAAATGGAGTTTTCCCTTAATGTTATCACGCAGTCGATCCATCAAAGGTTGCCTTTACCGTATTAGCATTAGCTGACCGCCCGAACAAAGGATTTTAATTTAGTTATCGCACGCTTTGTTACCATATAATTCTTTATTCCATCTTCTCCTTTGATGCGAGGAGCTCATACCATTTACTTTTCACAAAGAGACCCTTACATGTGTTTGTGAATAGTAATTAGGTAAAATTCGTTGGTTGGTTTATTAAATTTTGCAAAAAGAATTTGTTACATTAAAATTTCCCTTTTACATCTCCTGCAAATGAAAATTTACTCCAACCTACGTTTAATCAGGTAATAGTGTATTATAATTATTAGATTAATCTTATAGTCGTCGTATTTGGTATATCACAAGGATTCTTTAACTAAGCTTTTATGACTGCGTGGCGTAGTTGCCAAGGTATTGGCTTCAGCGGATGGGGTCGTGGGTTCGAATTCCACATGGAAGAACGATTTCTGTGACTCACAGGTAATTGTGTTTCGGATCAAGGTGTTTGTCCACGAGAAACTTATGTACGTATATCGTCCTTACAACACATATTACTTATATTATAACGCATTATCCTTTAAATTAAAGAAAAACTTCACAAAAAGCCTCGCTTCCCCCTCCAGTTATACCAGTTATAAAAAGAAAACTTAACATTTAATCAATTTCTCAAGCACCACAAAATTATGTTCACATAATTTAACAAGCAATTAATTGTAAGCTAATTAAATCACATTAAAACAAACTAGTGCAAGTATTATACTACACGTTGGGGCTAACCTTAGAAGTATTTAAAAGAGTTCGCAGAAATAATGATGAAATATTTTGTCGCAGTAAACACGTTGTACCCTGACAAAATAAATCCAGGCATTTTAGGCCACCCCCTCAAGTGAAGTTTAAATTAAAGCTAGCTTGTGTCTGAAAATTCGGCAGCACCATAAAAGGCGGCATAAGACGCCTCTCTCGCCTAGAGGCACCCCTACTGAGATTTAATTAACAAGATATGGGTCTCTTTTAAACCGACTCTACCTACTTTCTAACATCGTCGATTAAAATTCAATGAGTCGGCAAGATTATTACATAAAACAACTCGGTGCTAATTATTTACCACAGTTCATAAACTCCACCGAAAAGGCCTTTGTATACTTAGTGCAGCTGGAGTATTGAATACATTTATCAAACCGGGTACATAGTACTTAATCGATTACATATCAGATTCGAAATCGTATTGTTTCCATTAACCATTTTTGCTCGGGACATCGTTTCCGCTCACGAGTCTCGTAAATTATGAACCGTATGTTTCCCAGCGAGCCCTGAGGCGGAGCTTTAGCTGTGTTAAAACGAATTGAAAACCGGTAATCGAATGCGCGCAATGGGAGCCATGTCAATATTTTAAATTTAAATATCAAATGGAAATATCAGTTCAATATTTATTTTACTTTATTTCGCGTAGCATCCATCACTACCGTGCAGGTTCGTAGAGCTGTTACGTGTTTTATTTACGCCCCGGGTTGATATTAATGTGAACGTCTGTGTGAGACGCGATTTTCAGTACGTTGAGCTTGGGCGGATTCCTCCCGAGGCTATAAAGCGGCGAAGTGAGGTCGGCGGATCCAAGCCGGTGTTTGCAGATGTCAGGAGATATAAGAGGTGCGAGTTCGCAAGTTTGTTGCTACCCGAGCCGAGGGCCGTAACGCCCTCCGCAACCTGGCGGCGTAATTCGTCGGCGAAATTAAAAAGTAAAGGCCGGAACAGGTGGACGCTCTAATTAGAATTTTTCGGATTACACTATGTCGCGAATATTGTTGGCACCGCCGGCATATTTTAGGAGACGCATAATGACCCACTCCAGGCCTCGCTCGTAAGCGCCTACTCGATTTAAAAAGGCAATTTCGAAACGAAATAAGCGATGAATGACTTCGAGGTGCTATTTTAATTAATTTCCTAAATACTTGTGTCATGGATTAATTAAACGTGTGATAGAAAAATTAAGAAAACGTACGTCACGTTTTCTTAATTTTTCCATCACCATTATTTTGTAGTGTATAGTTATTGAGCTGTAACTCTTTATTTTAGAAAAATAACTATGAACTTGTGACTATTTGTATTAATGTATCAGAATCTTTTAGAGAAACTTTTATGATAAATTCTATTTAAAATAATATGTTTCTAAAAGGATATCTTTGTGAGTATTTCAATAGTGTATTAGTAGAGTTATACGAAATATCTATGAAAACACGTATTATCTCATTATTAACTTCATCGATCATCGGAAATTAGACAGTGATTACCTATTTATGTACAGGTATTCTCCTCAGTACCGCAATATTTGCAATTATCCCCCTGGGACTGCTGTGGAAAATCATTTAAGAAATCACTTCCTTTGCACTGCTATAGAACGGATAAAAATGTCGTTTACACTCGATATATGAACATATCTATCTTACTCAAACACCGTATGGGATCTAAGGAAATTAAAAAGTGGTCCGCGTCAACAGGTAGCCCTGGCTTCGTGCCAGCGCGGTCTTCTGCAAAACTATCGCTTAAGCCGCCGCTTACGCCGCTAGGCCAATTTAATGTACGCTGCAGCGACCGTTAAATTCAATAGCGGGATGGCTACTATACCGCGCCGCCACTGGGCGGGCAATTTGTGACCGGCCTCCACGCCCTGTCGGCGCATATTTACTCAGTAACTCTTATCTCTTGCAAAAATGTCGGAAGACATTCCTGCTATGAGGAATCGCGGTGATATAATAAATTCTAATTATTCTGTCCCAGTAAATTTCTTCAAAGAGCTGTGATAGCTCAATGTCCGGGCACTCGGTTATAATTCAATATTCTCGAGCAACCTGAGTTCGATCCCCGGTGCCGACACCAATGAAAGCGTTAATTTTAAGCGCTGACTTATCACGTGCACAAGGAAAACATTGTGAGAAAACCTGCATATTTTCTAAATAATAACAAAATAAAATTATTTGGAAGATATCTGAATCCTCAGTTCTGATACCCTCTATACAGAGGAAGTGCCCTGCAGTGGGACATTTATAGGTAGTTAAAGTAACAGCCTATATCTTTTTAAATTAATTTTTTTTCCCTATTGACCCAAACATAAATGAAGAGGGAGAATTTCTTAATCAATGTCTGTCGTGGCTCACTTGCAGCAAGGTTATTCGTTGGCCGGTTTTTGATGGAAAAAGACCATGCGAGCGAAACGAATATTAAAAGCAAGTAATGTTAATAATCGACGCGACAAAATTACAAATTACACCCGCATTCACCCACGATCTTACAATTACATACAGAACCATAGTTAGACTAGGAAACTAGTGTAAACGATTACCACGGCATAGATTTGCAAGAAGTAATTCGTGATCTGCTTCAGTAACATGAATAAATAAGAATTTCCGTTACCACTGCTTCAAGACAGACTTCCTCGTTATGTTTGATTAATTTGAGGGCATTTTATTAAAGAATCGCAAGCATCATATCATTCATAATGCTTTGCGATTCTAACATTATTGCATACTAAATTGGTTACGTATATGGTAGCTTACAAAGATGCATTAGTTTAAGAACAAGAATGGTACCATAACTACGTTTGTATTCAAATAAATATGCTGTAATTTAACGACGTAAAAATCAATAATGTTTTTTCTATGGCTAACCAAAATGTTCAGGTTTAAAATGAAAAAGAAACTATCTCGTGCGCACTTACAAAGTCGACTGTTGTTGTAGTCACGTAGCACAAAGTGTAGCGACGTAGCGACGTAGAGGCTCAGTTGGCCGACCGCCAGCCTACCTGTTGTTAACGTGTTCTCAGCCTGCGCCTTTGTGAAGTCTGACTAACTGTTGCATGTTTTTATGTTCCGGCCCGAACGCTTAGCTTACATGCATTGTTCCAATTTCCCCATTATATTCTTCGTGTTTACTATCTTTTCCATTTCCTTGGCTTGAATGGCCTGGTGACGTGACATGAATGGTCTTTCGAACCGGGTAGCCATCAAAGGCTTTCGAGATAATTGAAAGGCCCATTCAAGAGTCAATTTATTAACAATTCTGACGATAATAGAGAGTGATTAAATTAATGGAAAGGGGTTATGGACTTAAAATAACATTAGTTTAAGAATCAAGACGAAAATTTTGCCGGTATTAAAGTGTCTCTTTTTTTATTCCAAAAGTTGCTGATGATAAATAATTTATTCATAAGTATTTATCTATTTGATCACGGGGCCATATTCTGATCAAAGAGAAGGGTATGTTTTAATAATACTTGCTTCCATTAGCAAAATAGTCTTTTATGATTGTGCTAGTGACTTTAAAATGTAACAAATTTATTATTAACTAACAGATTTACTTAAAATCACATTTTAAATATAAAAACTGTAACAACGATTGTTATTTTTCTTTTACTTTGGACAATTTACCCCGCGTTATTTTATAAAGTCGTATTGCAATAATAACAAACGGTGGATTACTTCAGTTGCAGTCCAAAAGGCGAGGTGACTATTATTTCGAATGGCTGCCGTATAATTCCAACATAACGGGTAACTGGTCTAGCCTGTAAGCGTTATACGTAGCGAGCATTCAGCGGATTTTTTCTGAGGACTGAATTACTCGGGTATCGGGTTCACGTGAATTTATTTTATTTTATGTATGTGAAAGAACAAATCGTATAAGACGGAATGATCGCATCATACATACACCGTAAAAAAACATGAATGTGAAATAGCTTTAGATCGAATAATGAAGTTTTAACTTTATCATTCGATTCGTATTTCACAGTTCTATATGCCTTACCGGTACACCACAAAAAATAATTAGCAATAATAGCTTATTAAATAGATGCGAATTATTTAAGATTATAAAATGACAGTTTAGTAAGAAGAATTATGTATTACATTTTTTTTAATTCAAAACTGGCCAGCACTTGACTGCCATCCCACCTGATGGTAAGTAGTGATGCAGCTGCAGATGGTAAGCGCAACATTATATAGTTGAATTTATAATGGCTTTCATTTATTATATAATAAGGTTCAGGAAACAGCCCTGCATTTCTTGTGCTACTGCACGTTCATTATTATAATCAGCGCACATAAGTTCTCAGGTGAAAATAGGCACACCACAGCTCTCGCTGCTGTCACCCAGCACCCTGGGGTTGAATGTTTTGAGGTGTGTGAGTTAAATACCTACTGAAGAAGATTGTGTGAAATATAAACTGACGGTGAGTCCAGGTGTAGGCCATATTTTACCAATTGAACACGTAAAGCCCTAAATCGTAACGTGGAAACAGGCTAGGTAAACTTTTTTCCTGCAATAAAATAAGGTAGTCTAAAGTAACACTATGTAAAAAATGAGTCGTTTCTTTGATGTTCAATAAGAGTTTAAAACGAACCCATATTGAATTAAGAAATGTTACTTTGAATAGCAATTAACTTATCTGTTACCCAAACGAGAAACAACGCAAACTACACGTCGTCGGATGCTTAGTGAGCATCTTAAAACTTGTTAAATTACTAACAAGCGCTTAATATGTAACCCAGTTTATAAGATCTATACCGTATCATATTTTTATCGACGGAATACGTCAGACAAATAGGGACGGCGGCTTTCGAAACTCGACCCGGTGCGAAGTTTCTTCTCGTTCTCATTATATCACGTGTCGCGAGGCACGCGGGCTGAGCTAAGCGGCCGTATCATTACGCCGTTTACAAATTTTATTACCCATACCGCCTTTTGTTCTGCTCGGCGGGCCCCGCGGATTCCGTGAGCGGGTATTGACGCGCCTTGAATACGGGAGCGCCCCTCGAATGTGTGCCGTATTAACGCTATCATTCGCTACCTTCATTCTTCGGCAGCTTTCTGTGATTTGTGCCTTAGCGTATTGTGTTTCCGTTTTAAATATTTATATCTATTCAAAATTACTCGGTCGCAGCGTGAGGTTGCGCGGTGTGATTAGGTTCGTTGCGTTTAAATCGCTTTCTTATCGCGAATCATGAACGTGTATAGGGATTAGTACTCAAGTTTCATAAGAGACAGGTAAAAGTTAATGTGACCTTACAAACTATCTTATCTTAAATACCTAAGCATCCTATACTTCAAATATTTATAAAATGTATTTCTTTTAAAAACCAACACTACAAATGCTTTATGATTTTAAGTTTCGATAGGTTTGCATTATGGACGTAAACCTTTAAATCAATACTTCTTAAAAGTTTTTATAAACAATAGACCACTTATCTAATTAGGTACCATCTTAGGATTATGAACTCAGAACAAGAGAAATCGATATGAATGAAACCTAAGAACATTTCTAAAGGACGATCGATAGATAGGCGTCACCGTCACATTTAAAACGCGAAGTGAAACATCCGAGCGACGTGTTCCCGTCAAATGTATATTTCCACGTTGTCACCGCTCATCGAATAAATTATGAAGAAGCGTCGCATCCGAAGTGCGGAATTTAATCCGTTTGTATTCGCTAAGACGTATGAGAGCCATTAGTAGCACGGAGAATTGTAAAATGTACGCGGCGAGACGTTACCTGCGTACGAACATCGTCCGCATTATCCAATAACGAACGAAATGGCATCCATTAAATATTGTATTACATATACGTGGCGTTATTGGCAAATGCAAATGATGGATCGAAACCCTTCGGGTTGGGCTTAGGACGGTGAATGTAAAAATATAATAAGCAGAACACGAGTGGAACAAGAAATGTTGGAATGCTAAAGCCAAGAGATAACAAAAACATTCGGCAACATTTTAGATACCACTCAATCACGACTAGAAAAAGTTACGACAGCTGTGTAGAATTAGAGATCGCCTGTTTACGGAATGGGACCCGTACATTTTTTTAAGAAAATTCGTAGCCGTGATAGCTGTGTTCTGTCGCTCGCTTTATTCAACATACTCCATCAACCTGAGCTCAAATCCCTGTGTCGGCACCAATGAAATTATCAATTGCAATTTTAATTGCTGAATTATCAATACATCGTGAGGAACCTGCATATTTTCGTAATAATCATTTTAAAAAAGCCTTTGGTTTAGGTAGTTTAAAAAAGTTTGGTCGTGTTGTGGACTATACCATAATGCCCTCTCTAAAGAGGGTCTCCCTTTGCTAAATAGTAGGACATATAAAGGCTGTTACTTCAAAGGCTTTTTATTATTCCGTACTTTAAGACCATAAATTAACAGTGTTCAAAACCAAACAAATAAGATGAAAAAATACTTGATATCCACGCGAATTAAACAACAAAGGTGTGGTTGTTCTACTTTTTTTCAACGAGAATCTTTGGAAATGTTCTGATGGTTTAGTCTGAATTCAGATAAATTAGAAGGGTACCTAGATTATTTAACACGATAACTTCTTTTAACAATTAAGTAGATTTTTGTAGATTCTTCAGGCAGTGTTAAAAATTTTTCGCTGCTTTTTTTCCACGGAAAACCTCTTTGTAGAAACGGAGGTCAGCTAATAACCACCTTCCATGGACGTTCACCACAAACTATAAATGCGTTTTCGACCCTTAGAGTAGGATAAATCTTTTTTGACAGATCCTATACCCTGCTTTTATACTTTTCAAGATTTCCTATATGTAAACGAAAAACACCAGCTTGGTAAAATCCTATGCACTCTTAGTCTTGCCTACTTTCTTCTACGTTTTTCTTTCCATCTTGCCT